ACTCACTCACTCACTCACTCACACACTCACTCACTCACTCACTCACTCACTCACTCACTCACTCACACACACACACACAGAAATGATAGAAATGTTTGGATTTTTAATGTTGTGTGTCATGAAATGCACTGATTGATAATATTTTCTACTGGGGCATAGCCTCAGAAAGATGAGTCATTGCTATAAGATCCATCACTTCTGTTACGTCTGCAGCCCCTGGAACAACACCAGCCTGTGACGTCTGCTCACCACTCTCCAATGCCAGTCTCTCAATGGGGCGGGCTGTTGTTGCTTGTTGCCCTTGAAGACTAATTTTAAGGTTTTTGTTGCTGGAACTGACCACATTCTGTCCAATGGGTCATTTGGAGGTTGTCTTGCAACAGGTGTGCTGAGAATGCTAAGAATCTGTATACAGGAAATTTCCCAAACAGGACTCTGTATTGTCAATTTAGTTATATTTCAGCTGTCATTGAGCACGAGACGGGCATTGTACTGAAATCAGGATTTAATATGAACTCCTGACCCCCAGCTTGTGATTAATTAATAAATGTTGATGGACCTGTTGGTGATAATCAATCGTTGTATTAGGATGATACTGATTAGGGAAAAGATGGATTATCACACACGAATTGTGTTAGTCGACAGATCATGATGTATGTCAATAGAAAGTTGAACTTGTTATATATTTTATACTAATACTATTAATTTCACAATGATTTAACATCCCACTGTTTCAATATGTTAGACATAAAACACATCTCACAACTTCACTTAAAAGTATTATACTTTCAAATGTATTTGCCTTCTTAGGAATTGCAGGTTTTTTATCACATCTCAAACAAAACTACAGTTCAATGCTGATTGATAAGTTAGAGGCTATTGGTTGGTTCAACAGTATCAGAAAAAATATCGTATGGGACGTCATGAGTTGGTCAGCTGTTTTCACTGAACACTACCCAATATTAGTTCTGTTGTACCATTGATTATGAATGGATGCTATTGAGTACGTATAGTTATAAATACATGTTATTCCCTTGTATTCCATCAATGGACACGACTGAGTACATTGTTATAAATTTTTGATATATCTTGAATTCCAACAATCACATTGGATAGGCCCTTCCTGAAATCTAGATTCGAGGGACATTGTTATTGATTAGGCACCATTATGCAGATGAAGCACCCCATTAGGGTTCCAAGATAGACGGCTATTTGCTGACATGCCTCATAAAGGGTTAATTGGTTGTGTCTAGGAGATAGCCTGGTTAACCCTAACTACATTAGCTGATTAGAGCGGCACTCTACTGGTGCTGATTGATAATTCCATGGCTGCTTCCATGTGGGGCATGATGTGGAGATGGCCGTGTTCTAAACATATCCTCACCCACGGGGAATCTGAATAAATCCACTTGAGTAGCCCTAGCGTGAAAATAGACACGAGTTTCAGCTATTAATTACTGGATGGCCTGTGCGTGATGCGTCGTGATACCAGGAGTGGCTAGGATGCTCCTGCATCATTGACTTTTGTTTCCCAGTAGTGAGGTTGTTGTCAACCTACAAGGAAAATCCACAGCCCACCATATGATCATATGTGTGTCTTGGGTGTGTTGACCCGTGACATCAACTGCCAACCGTATGATCATGTATGTGTCTTGGCTGTGTTGACCTGTGAAATCTGAACAGCCCACCATATGATCATATGTGTGTCTTGGCTGTGTTGACCCATGAAATCTGCACAGCCCACCATATGATCATATATGTGTCTTGGCTGTGTCGACCCATGAAATCTGCACAGCCCACCATATGATCATATGTGTGTCTTGGCTGTGTCGACCCATGAAATCTGCACAGCCCACCATATGATCATATATGTGTCTTGGCTGTGTCGACCCATGAAATCTGCACAGCCCACCATATGATCATATATGTGTCTTGGCTGTGTCGACCCATGAAATCTGCACAGCCCACCATATGATCATATATGTGTCTTGGCTATGTTGACCTGTGAAATCCACATCCCACCATATGATCATATGTGTGTCTTGGCTGTGTCGACCCGTGAAATCTGCACAGCCCACCATATGATCATATATGTGTCTTGGCTGTGTCGACCCGTGAAATCTGCACAGCCCACCATATGATCATATATGTGTCTTGGCTGTGTCGACCCGTGAAATCTGCACAGCCCACCATATGATCATATATGTGTCTTGGCTGTGTCGACCCATGAAATCTGCACAGCCCACCATATGATCATATGTGTGTCTTGGCTGTGTCGACCCATGAAATCTGCACAGCCCACCATATGATCATATATGTGTCTTGGCTGTGTCGACCCATGAAATCTGCACAGCCCACCATATGATCATATATGTGTCTTGGCTGTGTCGACCCATGAAATCTGCACAGCCCACCATATGATCATATATGTGTCTTGGCTATGTTGACCTGTGAAATCCACATCCCACCATATGATCATATGTGTGTCTTGGCTGTGTCGACCCGTGAAATCTGCACAGCCCACCATATGATCATATATATATGTGTCTTGGCTGTGTCGACCCGTGAAATCTGCACAGCCCACCATATGATCATATATGTGTCTTGGCTGTGTCGACCCGTGAAATCTGCACAGCCCACCATATGATCATATGTGTGTCTTGGCTATGTTGACCTGTGAAATCCACAGCCCACCATATGATCATATGTGTGTCTTGGCTGTGTCGACCCGTGAAATCTGCACAGCCCACCATATGATCATATGTGTGTCTTGGCTATGTTGACCTGTGAAATCCACAGCCCACCATATGATCATATGTGTGTCTTGGCTGTGTCGACCTGTGAAATCTGCACAGCCCACCATATGATCATATGTGTGTCTTGGCTGTGTCATCTCTGTCCTCTGGCTCCCTTAGGTGCCAGGATCTGCTGATCTGCAAAACTCATGTTCAATCTTATTCTTGGTCTGTTTGTGCCATACCTGTGTCACTTCATGTTTTCTTCCCACAGTACCCTACACCCAGTACAAACTAAATACTTGTCAAAAGTGTATTTAACTCTTCCCGCTTACTTACTCTGACCTCAGATATCAGAATCAAACAAGAAAATTCCAGCTCCAGCTTTGAAAAATGTATTAAATTACATTTTTTCATCTAAATTAAAAGCGATGGCTAGTTACAAATAGTAGATACTGAGTTAAAGATTTTGTCCCCGATTCAGAATCAACTCAGGAAGATGGAACAAGTACCAGTTTTGTTCAACGTCTGCCTACCACTCTGCAATATGAAGCCATGTTTTTGTTAAGAGAGTTTATATCTTCTGGATAAGATCTGATGCATCCCATGATGGCAGCACTTCCTGTAAGTGCCATTACTGTCACCTACAAGATAGATCCTCTGTCTGCCCTCAATATTGTTTTTTGTCGTCTGCATGTCACTGTGCCCTGAGAGCTGATGGCTGGGAACAGATGTGGAGCAGACGTCATCTTCAGCACTGTTGCTAGTCAATGAATAAAGTCCACTGATCACAGGCCTGGTGCCAGAAGCATCAGCTTCTGTGGAAACAAGATCATATCAGGGATTGATATTAAATAAGACCTTTTTTTTTGTCATGTTGGACAGGAAAATCAATATTCATTTGCATTGAGTGCCGTAACTCATTTTCTATTATTTCGGTTGGTCTCGTCCCAACATTGGTGTTTCATGTTTACTAAGTACATTGTCAGGTACTGCAGTAGGTTGTGCAGTAAACGGTGATGTGGGTGTATAGAGGTATTTACCTGGGTGTATTTTTGTTCGGGCCAAGGAACTCTCAGTTATAATTTGAATGGTCCAAAGCACGAACATGGGTCTCAGGCTGATGACATGTGGAATGTTTCAATTTGCTGATGTCATATCATTGCCTTCAGAAACCCATGCTTGCCCTAAGAGACGACTATGCCTGTCATAAGAGGTGACTAACGGGATCGGGTGGTCAGGCTCGCTGACTTGGTTGATGCATGACATTGTATCTCAATTGTGTGGATCGATGTTCATGATGTCCATCACTGGATTGTCAGGTCAAAACTCGATTATTTACAGACTGGCGTCATACAGCTGTAATATTGCCAAGTGTGGCATTAAACAACAAACAAACAGACAAACATATGATTGCACATGCTCAGAAGTCCGAATAGAAGTGGCTCTTACATGTAACATACAATCTACAGCTTGGATTAGTTTTAACAAACAGTCATACTTTTTGGCATCGCCAGGAATTGCAATGTAATTTATTTATTTATCATTCTTTCTTTTTTGATCGGTGAAACCCTGGTATATGAGTGGATAGTTTCTAGATTGTTCAGAGAAATGGCCTCACAATGATTGTCAGTGAGATTATTGAGGACACAAACATAGTCCGCACACATGTTGTGATCATCTGATCGTCAATGTGTTTAACCCTATGAGATTCCAGATCAGAATAGGCCCAGCAATATATGCTTGTCATAAGTAACAACTATATGGTTCAGGTGATCACGCTTGTTAACATTGTTGACAGGGCATCATCGTACCCGATGGTATGGTATTTTAAATGTTGTGGCACATGGTCATGTGCACAGCACACAGGTCACAAATAAGGTGAAGTTAAGCAGCGTCGGTCATGGAGAGTCCTTGGTTGGGTGACCACGTTCAGCAGCTTGACTCCTGAGAGTTTCTAGGGCTTCAGTCCTGCCCCTCACTGAAGCACATGTAACACATGTGGTGTCTCCTTGGGCAAGTGACTTTGTTCAAAATGTGTCTCTGTTTAACCAGCAGTGAATGGTTATCCGGTAGGATAAGATGGCAATGTGGTTGTTAACCTTCTTGCGCCTAACAGGCAGTTTGGGTTGTATACTCCCCATGGAGTTGAGATTGATTGTTGAGTGCACACTGATCTTGTGACCGGGGTAATAAGGGGACAGAGTATGTCTAGAATGTAAATGCTATGTGGTCATTTTCCTGAATGGCTTCTCTCTGTTTCAGGCAAGGGGGACATGCAGAGCAGACTGGACAACGCCATGCAGGATGTCAACGACAAGTACCTTCTCCTTGAGGAGTCTGAGAAGAGCTGTGTGCGGACAGCTCTCATTGAGGAGAGGACAAGATACTGTGTCTTCGTCAGTGCTCTCAAACCATTTGTTGTGAGTAGAACCAGGACTTAATGCTAGTTCATGCTTATGAAGCTTGGCTGTATGATAAATTATGGAGAGTAAATATATTTTTTATTAGAATTATTATTTTGGATTTTGTATAATGTGAGTAATATGAATTATTATTATAGTTGTGTTAAGACCCAAGACATTAAACAAGATCATGAACAAAGTCAATACTTTCTACTAACTGGCTAACATTTAGTCCCAGAAAAAAGTTGTCTTATTTAAAAATATATGTCTACAAAATATAAAATCAGATCCAAATGGAGTCCAGAATAGTGCTTAATTTCCTAGAGCTGAGGCAATCTAGACTTGCCAAGTCATTCTAGACTTGAGTTGGATCTCCTTTTAATTTATTCATCAGGGTCTGGGAGACAGACTACTACCTGACAGTAATGTCAAATGACCTTTTTGGCCTCTACTATCCAGATAATTCTGTTATATATCTATGAAATAATTAAATAGACATTACAGCCTACCAATGACATGTATTAGTCTGGGTGATTTCACTGAGTTGAACTGTTGAATTTAACAGTTTTTCACTACTTTCAAATACAATAATGGTACGTTTTAGCTTATCTGACACCACACCTTCAGCACAACACTTCGTTATTCAGAAATGCTGATGTTTTACCTTACCTGACGCTAAGACCCGTGAAGATTCCGGGGTAGAATAGGTCTTCAGCAACCCATACTTGCCGTAAAAGGCGACTATGCTTGTCGTAAAAGGCGACTAACGGGATCGGGTGGTCAGGCTCGATGACTTGGTTGATACATGTCATAGATCTCAATTGCGTGGATCGATGCTCATGATATCAATCACTGGATTGTCTGGTCCAGACTCGATTATTTAACAGACCGCCGTCATATAGCTGGAATATTGCTGAGCATGACGTTAAACAACAAATAAACAAACAAACAAACAAACAAACCTGACGCTAAACAGTGCTAAAGATGTAGTGTCAGTTAAATAAAACCAAAAACATTGCATTTTTTTTCAGAAAAGCTCATATTTGCAAGTGTGATTTCCCCCGTGAGTATACTCGAGTCTGTGTGTTTCAGGACAATGAAATCGGCCTTCTTACGGAGGTCACACACCTCCAGGAGATCATCGACAGTCTGTGTGCTCAGAGTTCCGACCCCACTACACTCCCACCGTCCAGTGAGCAGGTCATCATGGACTTGAAGGGGGTCGACCACAGCGTCTGGAACTTTCAGGTAAAGGTAAAGACCGTATGACAGGGAGTATTGTCTTATGTGTCTCTGGAGTCTCGTCTCAACCAGGATGTATGGTAACCGCGAATTGGAGAAGATTGAAGTTCTTTTATATTGTTACCAAATTTGAAAACATTCTTTGGGCCATTTTGGATGACAGTCAGTCAGTTTCCATGAGAATGAACCACAGTCAGTCAGTATCCATGAGAATGAACCACAGTCAGTCAGTATCCATGAGAATGAACCACAGTCAGTCAGTATCCATGAGAATGAACCACAGTCAGTCAGTATCTATCAGAATGAACCACAGTCAGTCACTATCCATGAGAATGAACCACAGTCAGTCAGTATCCATGAGAATGAACCACAGTCAGAAAAAACCTTGAAGTTAATAATAGATACTAATAAATAGAGATACGTAATGATCTGCGATATACTCTATCATCCTGGATGGGAAATGTTGTGTGAAGTTTTATCTCACTTTTCAAGCTTTTTCTGCACTCTTTGACCTGTCCCTGGTATTTGCCTACTTTGATACCCCTTCCTCCTGACCCACTACAGTGGTTAGAGACCCCTCCCTCCTGACCCACTACAGTGGTTTGATACCCCGCCCTCCTGACCCACTTCAGTGGTTAGATACCCCTCCCTCCTGACCCACTACAGTGGTTCAATACCCTTCCTGACCCACTACAGTGGTTAGATACCTCTCCCTCCTGACCCACTACAGGGGTTAGATACCCCTCCCTCCTGACCCACTACAGGGGTTAGATACCTCTCCCTCCTGACCCACTACAGTGGTTCAATACCCTTCCTGACCCACTACAGTGGTTAGATACCTCTCCCTCCTGACCCACTACAGTGGTTAGATACCTCTCCCTCCTGACCCACTACAGCGGTTCGATACCCTTCCTGACCCACTACAGTGGTTAGATACCTCTCCCTCCTGACCCACTACAGTGGTTAGATACCTCTCCCTCCTGACCCACTACAGTGGTTAGATACCTCTCCCTCCTGACCCACTACAATGGTTAAATACCCCTCCTGACCCACTACAATGGTTAGATACCCCTCCCTCCTGACCCACTACAGTGGTTAAATACCCCTCCTGACCCACTACAATGGTTAGATACCCCACTACAGTGGTTAGATACCCCTCCCTTCTGCCCCACTACAGTTGTTCGATACCCCTCCCTCCTGACCCAGTACAGTGGTTAGATAACCCTCCCTCCTGACCCACTACAGTGGTTAGATACTCCTCCCTCCCGACCCACTACAGTGGTTCAATACCCCTCCTGACCCACTACAGTGGTTCGATACCCCTCCCTCCTGACCCACTACAGTGGTTCAATACCCCTCCCGACCCACTTCAGTGGTTAGATACCCCTCCCTCCTGACCCACTACAATGGTTAGATACCCCTCCCTCCTGACCCACTACAGTGGTTAGATACCCCTCCCTCCTGACCCACTACAGTGGTTAGATACCCCTCCCTCCTGACCCACTACAATGGTTAGATACCCCTCTACAGTGGTTAGATACCCCTCCCTTCTGACCCACTACAGTTGTTAGATACCCCTCTCTTCTGACCCACTACAGTGGTTCAATACCCCTCCCTTCTGACCCACTACAGTGGTTAGATACCCCTCCCTCCTGACCCACTACAATGGTTAGATACCCCTCCCTTCTGACCCACTACAGTGGTACGATACCCCTCCCTCCTGACCCACTACAGTGGTTCATACCCCTCCCTCCTGACCCACTACAGTGGTTCAATACCCCTCCTGACCGACTTCAGTGGTTAGATACCCCTCCCTTCTGACCCACTACAGTGGTTAGATACCCCTCCCTCCTGACCCACTACAGTGGTTAGATACCCCTCCCTCCTGACCCACTACAGTGGTTAAATACCCCTCCTGACCCACTACAATGGTTAGATACCCCACTACAGTGGTTAGATACCCCTCCCTCCTGACCCAGTACAGTGGTTAGATACCCCTCCCTCCTGACCCACTACAGTGGTTAGATACCCCTCCCTCCTGACCCACTACAGTGGTTAGATACCCCTCCCTCCTGACCCACTACAGTGGTTAGATACCCCTCCCTCCTGACCCACTACAATGGTTAGATACCCCACTACAGTGGTTAGATACCCCTCCCTTCTGACCCACTACAGTTGTTAGATACCCCTCTCTTCTGACCCACTACAGTGGTTCAATACCCCTCCCTTCTGACCCACTACAGTGGTTAGATACCCCTCCCTCCTGACCCACTACAATGGTTAGATACCCCTCCCTTCTGACCCACTACAGTGGTACGATACCCCTCCCTCCTGACCCACTACAGTGGTTCGTACCCCTCCCTCCTGAGCCACTACAGTGGTTCAATACCCCTCCTGACCGACTTCAGTGGTTAGATACCCCCCCTCCAGACCCACTACAATGGTTAGATACCCCTCCCTCCTGACCCACTACAATGGGTAGATACCCCTCCCTTCTGACCCACTACAGTGGTTAGATACCCCGCCCTCCTGACCCACTACAGTGGTTCAATACCCCTCCTGACCCACTACAGTGATTCGATACCCCTCCAGACCCGCTTCAGTCATTTGATACCCCCTTCTTGTGTGCCAAGTTTCCCCTTCTTGTGTGCTAGTTTCCCCTTCTAGTCCTATAAGGCAGATAGGTCTCTTAGGATGGGGGTCCTGGAAATGGAATGCTCTGTCTTGTATCCTTAATCTCCAAACAAACCTGAAAATGGCTCCACTGAGAACTTTCGCCAATCAAATGTTTACGTGTTAGTTTGAAAGAGAATGCATTAGGAGAAAGACATACCATGCTTGCCGTGCTAAACATTGTTACTGCAAATTTAACTGAGCTACATTGTTTTAATCAGAGGTATGTATTGGGATTTGAAACCTCTGACCAAAGTAATAATATTATTCAAATTTTCAAATATGTTTTTGCTTCTTCAGTAAAAGCTATTAATTTATTTGGGTGGGTGGGTTTGGGTGGTGTCTGTAGGTGTTTTAGAGTGAGTGAGTGAGTGAGTAAGTAAGATGTTTTGCTGCTTTTATCAGTATTCCAGCAATATCAAAGCAAGGGTCACAAGAATGTTAACCAGTTGAATTACAGATTGAAACAACAACAACATTACAATAATAAAAGGAAATATGATATAAACCCCTCACATCCAACACGTTTTTGCAGTGGATGTAACAATGATATTTGATACAAGTGTTCAGAGTACAAGTATGTATCACCATGACCGAGAGACTAGAGAAATTGACACAGTGTGTAACAGTTACAATTTGTTGGCAGGAAGGAAGTACTTGCCAGTAGCGCCAGACCGCGCTGTTGGCGGAAGTTGCTCTGTGATGGCGCTGTCCCTGATCCTTCTGATATCATTCTGTAGTGCTCCTTGTGTTCTTTGTTGAAAGCTATTTTTTAAGAATAGGCAATGGAGTGATTAGATGTAATATATATACTACTCAAAAGAAGTTAAAGTACACCCAGTTTCTTTCAAAACTATTTCCTTTCGTTTGTTTTAAACAAATGGAAATGATAATAATGTCATGATTTATGGAGATTAATAGAATATATGTATTATCTTTGATTTCTGGTGCAATAGAATAACAGAATTGTGTAAAGGGAGATAACTCTGTAAAGAATCCTGACTAAATTTTTTTGAAGATCATTACATCTGTCAAATGTTTTCCTGATCAAGTATGTGTGCTATTCTTCTTTATTTTACTTCTGAATATTTTGTCTCTTGCAAGTTGACAAAGATTCTTTGTAGTCATGTAGAAAATTCTATTTTTCCAGCAGACGCCACCAAGTTCACCGAGCTCCCTAGGATCACGCAAGTCAAGCATGTGCAGCATCAGCAGCATCAACAGCTCCTCCAGCGGCTCCACGCAGTCGCACTCCCCCAGCCACCACAACGTGCGCAACCGCACTACTTCGCAGGTACACCTCGCACCGTTGTGTTTGTCAGCACTGCTTAGGAAGTCTTGAGCTGTGTAATGTTCCATGATGTGAATTGTTTTACTGTATTTCAATATGCCATGTCAGCACAATTCCAATACACTAAGCTGTATTTCGTCTATTGATCCATTGCAGTAATACACTATGCTATACTTGGTATACTGAACCATTATAGTACTATGCTATACTTAGTATACTGAGCCATTATAGTACTAGGCTATACTTAATATAATGTACATTGCATTTAAAGTGATATACGTAAAGAAGAGAATTTATGGATGTCAACTTCTTTATTATGAGGAACACAACGTCCGAGAGTATATACTTACTCCTTCATCAGGTGAATGACATCCCTAGATTCTCTTTCTTACATGCTATACTTAGTACCATTGCAGTACTATTCTATACTATACTTATACTGTTTTGTACATTGTACTTTTATAGTACTAGACTGTATGAACTAGGTTGTTTGGTATGCTGGTAAACCACTTACATATCATATTATAGAACTGTAGCAACACTATCGCTAAGATCCCCTTGTGGAACACAGCCCTTTACAGTTGGATGGAGTCTCTCTTACAGACCCCAGAGCATCTCTTAAAAAAACGTTCATCCCATGTCACTCTTGTCTCCTTTTCAGCTCTAGGAAATTAAGAGACCTGAGGTTACTTCAGACAATTATTTATATTTTATATTTTTCTTGACTTTATTTCAAAGGCCACATGTTAGTGTATGTGATATGCTGTTTTGTATGTTAGTTATACACCAACATAATAATCTATTTATGTATGTTTATGGTAATTAATTAACAATTGTCACTAATTATTGCAAATACAAAACCTCTATTACATCAGTGGGGGGCACGGGTGGCCCAGTCGTCTAAGGCGCCGTGATTTGTGGTGCACAGTTACGTCCCTTGGGCATGCCAGAAACCTATGATTGTGGGTTCGAATCCCTGTTCGCCCCAATTATTTTTCTAGGTTTGTCAGCACCATACCCGTGCTCGTGGGTTTCAAGTGGTAAACGTCTGAGACCTGCATCACTTCGGGCTTTCCTCCCACATAAAGCTGGCACGCTGTGATATAACTGGAATACTGTCAAAAGCGGCATTAAACCCAACTCACTCACTCACTATTACATCAGTGCCATAAATCATGAAGACCTCTTCACTGTCAGCTATCCATAATAAGTTGTGCTACTAATAGAATATTTGAATGAAGGGTTCTTTGCCACATGTACTAGATAAGCCTATTTGTAACCTCCATGGCCACAGTGTAGTTGAACATTCATATACTGACAGACATAAATGCTGGTATTTGCTCTAATATGATTATCACCGTCACAAGATCAGTCCTTTCTGGCACTGCATAGACCTACATGAGTACTGCATGCTGTACGTCCCACCATCCAGTCATGTCATCCGCTGAATCGTGTCGCCAGCTGCGTCCATGTACATTTATTTGCAGATCTTCATTATTTGAGCTACAATATTGAGCTACTGGTGCATGCGATATTGAATCATGTTCCTGGTGTTTGCAGTATGTGCATGTTACAGTCTTCAAGACGCTTGCTGTATGCAGCACGGCAGCTCGTTACACCATCACTTGGGGGAAATGTAACATTCATGAAATTGTTTAATTTGTTTCTCTGGCTAATTTTGGAGTTTTGAATGAAGTTTCTGGACATCAACAACTCCTGTTAATCTGAAATACATTGATTTTATTACTAATTTAAAATATGAATATTTGATATCTTAAAATTTCACTTAGATTTTGGTCACATCTGTTTAAGATGCATCTTCTTTTTGAAACTATTTGATGTTAATTTGATATTTGATATTTTGGGGGTGAAAATGGCAATTTTACAGTTAGTGCCGATTTCGAATATGTGGTGTATACGAGCAGCCCTTCTGAATACCCGAAAATCATCATGCATTTGGGCATGTGTATGCTATTATTTTCTCTCTCCACGCACACAGCAACCGACCGTGGGAACTCAACGCTTAATGAGCGTGTCATCACAGGACTCCGGCTTCACGTCCCAGGATACGCTGTTCTTGCGGCCCACCACTCCCCAATCCCTTAATCTGCCACAGGTAGGCCTCGTCCCCGCACTTTGTCTAGACCGTACACGCCAACAGTCGGCAGCAGGGTGCCACTATGCAACTAGACAATAGTCGTAGACCTTCTGCCTGGTTTTACCCTCATCTTGACGTAAACCTCTCCTCAGTCCAGTGTTTGTCAAATGAAATGTTGAAATTATGAATATTTTCCAAAAGTGGGTATCACTTCTCTTTAGCATGAAGAATGAAAAGTTTATCATACCTCTGTGATAGAAAATCGGATAATTGCTATTTCGTCTCTTCCCTATCCTTGAATGCACCTGGTGATGTGTTGATATGTCCTGCTGTGCCTGTGACCAATGACATGCAATGCCAAACACTGGTGACCAAGAATGGCATTTCCTCTAGTATGTCCCTGTTATCACCTTCACAGACAAATCTGTCCCACAATACTGAAGGCATGTTTCTCATCATGCATGAGTAAACACCACAGAATGACAAGGGTCCTGAGGCGTTTTCAAGTTTAGCTTGAAACAGCTATAAAAACAACTTTTGATGAGTCAAATGTTTATTGTAAAAGATGAACATAAAATGTAAATTAACACTTTGCTCTTTATCGTAATCCTGGTAAAATCTCATAAAAGTCGATGTAACCAGATCTAATGACTCAACAAAACCAGCCAGATATTTAAAAACATAAATTGCTGTATTAATGAAACGAAAGAACATGCTGTGCTCATGTTTCCCTAGACAGCCAATCCGCATTCACATGGATAGGATTTCGCATTTTAGATTCAGCTTGTCATGGGGTTTATAATATAGACTAAGCCAAACCAACTACGACAGACAGAGAGAGAGACAGAGAGAAAAGACGTCATAGGCTGGTGTTATTCCAGGTGCCGCAGACGTAACGGAATTGATGGATCTTATAGCAATGACTCATTTTTCTAAGGCTATGCCCCAGTAGATAATATTATCAATCAGTGCATTTCATAACACACAACATTAAAATTCCAAACATTTAACAATAATGGAACAATAATACCATTTCATACCGCCTTCATGGCTGCAGGTGCCCCTCAGATCCATCATTTCATTTGCTTAGTAGTTAGATCATTGCTTGTCATGTAAATTGCCTCAGTTGGTCATATTTAACACACATTGAGTCACTGGGGAGAGTAGCTGAACTCCGGGAATGTCATCACAACTGTTATCCCCCTTTATCACCAACCTTCATGTACCCGTGAAGATTCCGGGGTAGAATAGGTCTTCAGCAACCCACGCTTGCCGTAAAAGGCGACTATGCTTGTTGTAAAAGGCGACTAACAGGATCGGGTGGTCAGGCTCGCTGACTTAGTTGATGCATGTCAACGATCCCAATTGCGTGGATCGATGCTCATGATATTAATCACTGGATTGTCTGGTCCAGACTCAATTATTTACAGACCGTCGTCATATAGCTGGAATATTGCTGAGTGCGGCGTTAAACAGCAAACCAACCAACCTTCATGAGATCATAGACTTCACTATTTGCAACTGTGGATGCCCCACTTGAATTATTTCAGAATAGCATTTAAAATAATAGAATTTGTTTAGCTCCATATAAACTAAACTTATTGGTAACTGTAATTATTTTTCTATTTCATCGAATTTGTGCAATCAAGCTAATAATACTAAAATACTACATGTACTGTATTTTTTATTTTGGTGCTTTTCCCTGTCCGTAACCAAAAAATAAAAGTGTCTGTTATTACCCCCGAGAGTAAGACCAGGTTTTAGTGCATATTTAATATTCAGCTTCCAACAGAATGTTTCACACATAACTGCATAGACACTAGGCACAGGTATGTCAAAAACGGATTCGTGCAGTTTTTGCAGTGTTCGAAATTAAGACAAGTCCTGGGGTCCTCAAGGTTTCTTCTTATGATATTTGAATCTAGGGACCTCATTGAACATTTGGGTTATGACAAGGACCCCCTGGCTTCCGTGCTTAATTTCGAACACTGTCTTGCGTTGCCGAAGTGCATCAACAGTAAGCCTGCACACCGTCACCAAGCTCTCAAGCGGTGTTGTTGTGGGTGTGTGTTTGTGTGTCCAGCCTGCATTTGACCATCACCTGCCACCCTCATTGTTGTGTGTCTTAACCTCTAATTGCAGCTTGCTGCTTCTTAATGCTTTATGTACATGGATTCTGTAACGTGCAAGGAGTACATTGAGACAGACATATTTTTTTTTGGTTTACAGATTTCATAGGACGAAAAACATAGAATGCATTGTACAGGAGTTTTTTGATCATCTTACAGTTTGATTTGGATGAGTTAGGTGATACAAAATAATCATAAATAATGATGATTTATAGTTGGTAAATTGTTTTTTGTCATATAAAAATTGCTCAAATCTTCTTTTTCTTTCTTTTTCTGACAAAGTGGACCTTATCGATGGTTGTATAATGAAAAAAAATCTGATTATTTTTTTCCCCTGAAGTTCCAATTTTTAGTTCAGCTGATCCGTAAACCAAGAAAAAACAATTGTAAGGCCTTGTTGTTTTCTGGTTAAAATTGAGTTACAAATGTTGTCAGGTAGTAATGTATTGTTATCAGCTTACCTGCCATTAACACCATACTCATTTTGTAATGTCACACATTCAGCTCAAGTCAGCATCTTGCCATAGAAGGATCAAAATATGGATCTGAAGTCTGATTTTTTGCATTAAAACAATAATTAACTTTTGAAATGTTTGACATGTTGGTGTTCAGATTATATTGGGATATTGTGACAAGAATGACACCCACTTTCAGAACTCGGACAAGGACAGTACCAGTACTGGTACCCCTGACGTTGACTCCACCCCGACTACACCCTCAGAACACTACCCCGCTACCCCGTCTGCAAGCTCCACATGGAATAATTGGCCCAACGCACCCAACAGTGCACAGAAGGGAGACGACTTCCGCCCACACACGATATCGTCCGCCTACGAAAAGTCGCATCACAATCGCCCTGCTCTGAAAGCGGAACTGTTCCAACCTCCAGCACCAGAGATGTTGGAGAAGCTGAAGGAGACGGAGGCCCGTGGAGCACAGGGTGGGGCTAAACATGGACGTCCACACAGTACTGCGACGGCATCGCCATACTCACGACCATCTGCCACCATCAACAAGATGCAGCCAGTCCTACCACCGCTTGGACCAAAACCGAAACCCAAAGCTGTGCCACCTCCTATGGTGCCTCATATAGGTGAGTTGTGTGAGATGGCTTACTTGTTATGTAGAGTTGTCTCCCTTAGCCATGCCAGGATACACTGATTGAAGGTTTGTTATTTGAATGCAATTGGTCATAAATAAATTTGCATCATGCAGTATTATTAGTTTAGATGAAAACTTATCAACAAATGAGTTGGTTTCATGTCTTTTGTCAGTTTTCACCTTGTCTACCAAATGTGTTATGATGTAGCATGCTTCTGAAAGGTAGGGTTGCACAATGTATAAATATTTTGTAAGCTTCAAGAGGGTGGATTGCTCAGTGTATAAATGTCTTGTAGGGGTTTGCAATGTATAAATGCTTTGAATGCTTCAAAAAGAGAAAGTGCTCAATGTATAAATGTTTTGCTTTCTTCAAAAAACTGTGGTGTGCAGTGTATAAATGGTTTGCATTCTTCAATAAAGTGTGTGTGTATTTGCGCACCTGCACTTGGGTCCGTGTGTTACATCACATTGTGGGTATCCTTTACAGTTTCCCAGGCTCCGATCTATGCCAACGCTGCTGAGATTGCGCAGATGGCTGCTGATAAGAAGAAGGACATAGAGCCGGTGATCGTCCACTCCCCCGACAGCGACACGTCGTCCTCACCTCCAACACCATCAAATAACGCTGTTGCACAGGTAACGACGGGACTCCAAAGACTACCGTTGACCATATCATGGTCACTCTCACTTCTGTAGCTGATTGATACAAGACTTGCCCTCTAGACTTCCGTGGCCATCACCAAGGGGGATAACTCTTACAATTCTCCTGGGGTCCGACTTCACTTAGCTTGTCATGTCATTTTGTATTTCATCATGGTTCTTCCTTAATGTTATCTTAGTGCTCCGTCTATCATAAGTATCTGTTCAACAAAATAAGTTATGATCTCTTAGCGATAGGATCGCAAAGGACCAAACCATGGCCCTGTTCCAGAAAGAGATCTCGCTAAGGCAATCGTAATTCCCCTATTTAGACACTGACTTACAATGTCATAGGTTTAAGATTGTTTTGTTAACTAGGTCGCTGGATTATATGTTTATTAGAAAGAAAATTATTTTAACTTTATATGTCAGGAGTTTTGCAGTGTAGACAAATATTGAAATCCCCTTCGTCCCAAAGCCATAAATATCCATCTACTTTAGGAAAAGCCACTGAAAGATTTGTTATTTCTTTTAAATTTAGTTAGCTAAGTGGCAGTGTGTATGTTCAATGTAGATTCTCCACTTGTGAATCACATTTTGTAACTTATTGTCCTGATGATTGTCTCCCCTTGGTGATGGTCACGCTCGATGAAACTGTCCCGCCATTGTATGTCACTAATTCATTAATGAATGATATGCTGATGATTGCTAACACTGAGACACAGGTATATAGCATGCTTTCTCAATCAAAGCAAGCCGAAACTTCGTTTCTTGTTTGACATCCTTTTCTTTCAAATTCTGCTCTTCTGGAAACAATACCAACTTTGTGCTTGTTTAATTATTCTTATGCTTCCGAGACCAAGGTCATGAACTTTGTGGAAACTTGCTGAAGTTTGAGTATCAGACCTTTCTAAAGAAATTTGATGTTTTGAACTTTGAGGTGGAGCATTTACTATTTTGATGTGGTAGGGAACATTATTCAGACCCTTTCACATATGTGAAAAAAGTGTTCTTACCTAAAATATCTTAACATTTTCTGATATTTGGCTTTCCTAATACATAAGTCTTCTCACTAATTTAAAGGTAACAAAATCGTTAGAAGAGATATAGAAAAAATTAATAATTATAAAAGAAGTGAAGACAGAAGAGTTTTGTCTTAATTGGTCTCCAGCTGAAATTCTGTACAGATGAATGCTTTGCTTTATTTTAGTTGCAAGTCTTATGTTTATGCTGTGTTTAACAATTTTTGTAGAGCCTATTACTGCTTAGACAGCCATAGCACTAAAGCCAACCCGAATCAGTAAGAAAAATACTGATAAATTAAGACATGGCATTTCAGATCAAGTCAGTCAGTTCAACCGGAAACCAAGTTTGTGTAAAATCTATTTGTCATCAGGGGTAGTGGGGTAGCCCAGTGGTTAAAGTGTTCACTTGCTTACCCGAGTTTGATTCCTCTGGGTGCTGTGTGTGAAGGCTATGTCCCCTGCCTTGCTACATGTGGTGTAAAACCTACCTTTCTATCAACCGATGTGGTTGTTTTCGTGATCAAGGCTGTGTCTTCCTATCTAAGCAGTAATATGTAGTCATACTTTCTTGTCGGACACACTACGCTATTTCGACTCATCTTAGATCTCAGTTTCAGTAAGGATGTTAATATTAGGATGGTAACAGTACAGTCAGTGTGGGAGGATGGCCTCATAGTCTTCATAGTGTTGCTGTTAAAACTGTAGCAAGTTGTAGGACTGTAATGGCTAAGTTTGTCTTGTCTCTTGACTTTAGTCCAGTCTCTTGACTTTAGTCCAGTCTCTTGACTTTAGTCCAAAATTAAGCCTGAAAGTCAAGGGATCCTTGTCATAACACTAATGTCAAAAGCAGAACATTGAAGGGGTCCCTGTATTATACCAATACCATGATGTTTACTCATGACCGCCGACTCCAAGCGCTGTTGAGATTAAGCTTGCCGTACAATACTTGATATCATACGTAACACTAAGAAATCTTGTCAGTGTAAAGGGTCTTTGTTTAGGCCAATTGGCAGTCCATGAAAGTTTGATTCCATTCATTCAAAAACCACTTTGTTAGTCAAATTTTATGATTTGTGCTAATCTGGCAGATGAGGATTACCCAATTTAGACAGACTGTGTCCAATTTGACACATCACTTAATAATAGGTCTAGGTCTAGACCAAAACGGTTAATGGTAGAGCATAGGCACTCTGCAGGTTGACTCCAGTATATGTGAGATGACCTGTCTGTTTGTTTGTTGTTGAGCACCACACTCAGCAATATTCAAGCTGTATGAGGGCAGTGTGTTAATAATCAAGTCTGGACCATACAATCGAGTGATTGATGTCATGGGCATCGATCTACACTATTACAATGACATGCATCAACAGGTCACCAAGCCTGACCACCAGATCCATTTAGTCGCCTCTTTTGACCAGCATTGGCTCCTGGGGATCTAGGGGCGGTCGGGTAGCCTAGTGGTTAAGCGTTCGCTGATCGTGCCGAAGGCCTGGGTTCGATTCCCAACATGGGTACAATGTGTGAAGCCCATTTCTGGTGTCCCCCACTGTGATATTGCTGGAATATTGCAAAAAGTGGCGTAAAATCATACTCACTCACTCCTGTTGACCTATATTTACCCAGAATCCTCATGGATGGTGGAAGAGCTAAGAACATTCTGCGAATTTCAAAGGAGTACACTGTAGCCTTTCGAAAGCTCGCAAGAACCTCTCGTCTGGAGAGAGGAAGGTTGGTGGTTCAATCCCCGGCCGTGTCATACAAAAATGTTAAAAGTCGGTACTTGTTGTACCCTGCTTGCCGTTCGGCATTGGGGGATAAAACGAGACTGGTCAGATCGGAGTCTGGATACTGTGTCTGAGTGGTATATACTAGATTGCACTAGAAAACCATCTAGCCTTTAGTCTGGACTATTACAAGCAGCACATATGCACGTAGCAATATAAGTACACTAAAGGCTGTCTTCCAACACTGGGGCTAAGGTACTGGGATATCGGGTTATGTTCAACAATTAATAGCTCTCACAATAACAAAAAGATTCAGAAAACCGATATATATTATTCTTTTTACAAAAATAAAAAATACAATTGCCATTGTTAATTCAATTACAATGAGTGTCCGACAAGCAAGTTCTCTTTTAACACACTCTATAGATTGAACATGTTTACCTTGAATTACCAACATGTTTTAGTTTGTTTTCGAGCTATCTTCTTGGTTTGACCTTTGACCTCTTACTCCTCTGAACAGCCGTCCCTGACTCAGTCTGATATGTTGGACCTTCAGGAGGCTATCAAGTCACTTGATAGTTGCACCGCAGCCTTAAATATTGAATATGATAGCGACGAGGACGATGTGCATAAGGCAAGATTGATTGACATCTGTCACCATCGCGTGTGAAAAGTGTGCGCTCCAGATAGATTTGCTTCTGTGGTGTCAAGGTTTTTTTTGGATATTGCACTTTCTTTCTGGCACATTTGGCATTCTTGAATTTCATTCAGGTTGTAGTAAAAATTATTTCAGGTTGTTGTGTTTTTGTAACAGTCTGTGATTAATGGTTCTTCATCATTAAAAAATAATCAAAGTCGTAGTGTAGAATCTATAGTATGTTTTGTGGAATTTTCGTGAATTGTGAATTGTTTTTTTATGAGATACACACATAAATTAATTTGGCCTTCTTTTTTGATGGTGAAAAAACATAATTTACTTGCAGTGTTTTTTCCTGAAGCTTGAAATAGAAATTCTTTCAAAAGGGCGTAATTTACCGCATTTGATGGATACTTAGGTTTGAAAAGAAGACTTAAATTATTTCATTTCTCCTTTAGACAAGAAACGGAAGTCCAGACAGCTGGGTAGGACATTTTTCACAATAAGAACAAACTAAGATGCTTCTCAACCAGTTGCACCAATTTTTCAAGGGTCATTGTCTCAGGACCGAACACTTTAATAGAAAAGTTCAATATATTTTCAAATCATCCCTATCTCATTAAAATCAGTTGTAAGTTCTCGCTTCCGCTACACTTAGATCTGAGGACATCCCATTACAGGTCATGTCAGAACAACCTTTAATCTGACCTATCCGAGAGTCACTCACAATATCGGGAAAGTGACAGTCAGAATTTGTTTTTTAATCATGCAACCTCAAAAGATTATCACCTTTCAGGCTGAACAATTGATTCCGTCAAAATCATCGTCTGCCACTCGCTTAACACTTGAAATGGAATACACTTTCCATAGTGAATTACTGTCCAACAATCTCGGCCTCTATTAGTCATTCTTGAATATCTTTTTGTTCAGTTTTCAAATTTTGAATCAAGAAGTTTGTCAAAATATTTTTCAAAGTTTAGTCTCAAATGGAAGTCGCGAGTTGGAAACTAATGCTGTAAAGCTCGAGAAAGCTGCTTTCTGGCTGGCTAATGTCAACTTGTTAGTCATTTCATTGGTCTGTCAAAGTTAGTGAAAGGTAGTTCTGACATGACCATAGTAAAAGTGCTAATGATTAAATCTAAGGAGTACATCTTCCCTAAGGAAGAGAGTTAACTGACTATGAAAGTCCAGTTTCCACCCTTGCCGAACTAGGCTGGTATTATGGAGTTACGTTTTGGCTGGACTGACAAGTCTATGCACAGTCCAATCAAAATTGTGCAACGATTCGTACACTGTCGTGCAGATGTCGGTCAATTGCAGGATTTGCAAAACATGTGCACTCGTTGTCAACAGATCTCCCTATCTTTTCATGTTTTTAATCAAGGTGCTCACGTGATTTGATGCACTTTGTGATGTAAGACCCATTGTGTCACAATATAGATCTTGGTTATCGACCAGATCGTCTTGACTGGGCGCCGTCGTTTTGTTTTAAACAAATGCAAGTCATACGAGAGGTGAAATCTGATTGGTCCATAGGAGAGGCTAAGAAGGGACATAACTCCTAATAACCACTGGTGGTGCTACGATCGAGCCCAGGAATTCCAGCCTAGTTTGGCATGGGTGGAAAGTGGACTTTTAAAGTCAGTTAACTTTCTTGCCTCGGGAAGATGAAGGAGTAATGAATTAGGAAAACCTGGAACACTTCCCCAGTTACTGAGTTACCTCCCCTGCCTTCACATCTTCACCCATTTGTAGTAAAGTTTGTTGTGGTAGACACAACATGAGAGTTATGACACAACATGTTCACTCACGCTTTGATTGTGTAATGCTTTTTGCTTTTGTTTATGCACAAGGCCAGTAAGAAGATTATCAATAATAACTTCTCAGATTAACACAATATATAACAGGGAGCTAATTTCACTAATGGGTGTCATTCCTGTTTGGGAATAACTAAAACTGTACAATGTTTATAGTGTTAATGTTTAATATTGTAGTTTTGTTTGGACCATGTTTTCATGTTATAAAGGTTGTAGATATTGTGTAGTACAGAAAAGTGTCACTAGTTCGAGAGAAATTAATTTGTTTGTCCAGTGCCAATGGGTTCTAGTTCCTTGTTGTGTCTTGTGCATGATAATCTCAAAAGAATGTTGACATTTTGACAACTAACAATTTTCTAAAAGAATATCTGTGTTTGTGCATGTTGAGTATGTTTATCAATTCTTCATTGGAACTGAAACAAAATACCAGATTATATGATAAACATTTTACATTTGTAAATTTGTTTGGGGAAAGAAAAAAATGTCTAGTTATATTTTTCCAATACGCTTTATGCTTCATTCACAAATTTACTATGGCTGTCTTCATTTTATTGTTCTTGAATGTAAACTGATTTATATGAATTTGTTAATTCTGGATAATATATAGTTGAGGAATTGCAACAAGTTTGTCAAATATTTTCCTGTAAATTAATAAATTATTGGTAATATGCACTTGACAGTTATTAATTTGAATAGACTCAGTTTAAGTCATGGAATTAATGCGAATATGAAATTAATATGAACAATGGAAATTCCCCTGGCTTGCATTGATAAAGCGACAATGTCTTTGGAGAAACAAGAGCCCTGGTATTCTCTTATTAGTCTTTATCAACCATGTGAAATAATGACATAAATCACATCAAGTTAAGTCTGGTCATGGCTTGTTTGTGACAGTTAAGGAAAACATTGTCAATTTAATTACAGAAATGCTAAAAGTTTGACAACATTATTTGAATAATTTTTTCAATGAGATCAATTAGATAAGTAAAAAATCAAAGGTAGGGCTTCTCGCATTAGTTTCATGACATGTTCACGACAGGAACTACACAAGCATTAAGTGATGAATCCTGATTGACAGTGGTTCTCAGCCCTTGCTTCATTGCCATCATGTGATATCTTCCAGCAACAAATGCAGCAGAATTCCCTGGAGTTAGCGGAGGCGATCCGGGAATTGGAGGCCAGTACCGCGGCACTGGAGTGTACGTACGACACCCAGAGCCACACCAGCCACACGTCCTTACAGTGTTCTAGTGGCTATGGCACAATGAACAGTACGCCATCAGGATCTGAGGACACCATTGCCTCAGGAGGTAGGCGATTCCCATGTTACGATCTGTGATGTTGTCTGAGTGAAATGATTAGTAAATTGTTACACTTTTTGCAAGGTAATGATAAGTTAAAAGTTTCATTTCTTGAAATTGATGAAGTGGCTTTTCAAAGTCATCTTTTTGGTTATTTTGAAAATATTTAAGAAAAGTTTATGAAATTATAGTGTACTCATTATGCCGATTTGTTTTATTTAGCAGAGACTGATTCTGAAATATGCCAGTTTTGGAATGTATCTGCAGTTCAGTTTAGCAATACAGGAAGTGTAACAATTTAGTGCAGAGTTATGCCCCTTTGTTTTTATGAGCTACCAGTAATTCAGTTCAGAGTTATCCCCCTTTGCTTTGTTGAGCTCAAGCTCCTTCCCAGCGCGTGACATCTGCGTTACACTCTCGGTAACATCGCTGCCACCAGTATGGGCGCGGCCATTACAAGAATCTTGAAATTTGGCCTCTAACCCCAAATGTAGTAACGTTCATACTTTTGTTTATGTCTTTGGAAATGCCATCATAGTGAATTTTGAAAAGGTTTACGACTGACCATGTTTTCCAGATGAATTTACTTTGGTGTTTGTATAATCAGATTGGTTCGAGATTGCAGACTAACGGAAAATCAACCAACTTCTCCCTTACATTCTTACTATATCAATAACATGATCGTTTTAATGAAATAGAAATTCAGTTTGACAAACAAAGAAAGTAATTTAGCAGGGGTAAGTGTATTCAGCGTCACGACAGTCGTCACTTGTTTGTAAACATAACAGTCATTCTGTTGCGAGTTCAACTCCAAGCATGGTTGTGGCCACCTATCACAGTGGGGAGTTTTGACTGGTGGCAGTGATGGTATAGAGAGCTCCGCGAACGGTCTATCGCTGCAAGGAGCTTGTGTTGAGCTCCCAAGCTTCCCATCCATTGTGTTATAAGTTGTTGACAGATGTTCACCGTGTCAAGTAGACAGTATGCATGTTGTTTGATGAGCAAGTTTTTTTGTTGTTCACCTTTATTGATATGTCAAGTATATATCCTGCATGTCTGCAGATTTTTTTGTTTTGATGAGATATTTTTATTTCCTTTGAATGCCTAGTATGTCTGCATGCAGTTGACATTTTCATAAATAATTATTCGCATTTAAGAAGACATGACAATCGGTTGCGGTCTTATGTTATCATTTTTGGTGTCCAGACATTTATTTTTTTTAAATTTGATGGATGAACTTTGGTTTAAAAGAATGGTTCGATAACCAGGCAAATATCATTTTTGGTGTCAAGATGATTAAATTAAAACACATTTCAGTAACATGTTATGTAATTTTTGATTGCGAGGCAATTACTTCAAAAATGGACATTTTCAAAAAAGTTTGTTTAGAAGAATGGTTCAATTAACCAGAGCCCTGTTCCACAAAGGAATCTTGGCACTAACATGATGGTAACCCCCCATACTTTATCATAGGATTACGATCATCATAGCACTGAGATCGCTTTATGGAACTGGGACCCAGCAAATGTTATTTTTGGCATCCAGACAATTGCTACAAAACATATTGATGGAGTTTCTAGATGGTTCAGCAGAATTGGACAATGTTATATATGTCAAAGGTCACTTGACCTAAAAATTATGTAAAAGTTCTATCAGGATGAGTATATGATAAGCAAAATTTTCAAATTTCAGTAAGTTTTCCCATTTTGAATGTTGTATATCAAAATGTTAATTTAGGAATTAATTCATCATGATTTATGAAACATTAATCAACTGTTCCTGCATGTTTGACTGTTAATTGATTATACTTGTAGCATGTGACTGTGATATTTATGAATGTATCCACAATTATTTTTTGGTCTTGCAGTGGTAGGCAACTGGAGTTTATTTTCTTGTCTCCGTGATAAGTTTGGTATGTGTTTTGTTTATATTGAATACAAGACAATGCTGTGTTATTTGCTGAGAGAGAACACTCCCTGGAATCTGGTTTTGTGGCGCTTTGAAATTTAATTGGTGGAAACAAAATAAAGATATCATGTAATTAGCATGTCCCTGGATGGGTGTCCTTTCTGCAAGGTATAGGGTGGTTGGTTAGTCTAGTGGTTAAAGCGTTTGCCAAAGGGTCAGGTTCAATTCCCTACATGGGTACAATATATGAAGCCCAGGAATATATCCAGGATGCATCTGGCAAGCAAATTGGGAATAAGTCTATTTTTTCAAAATTGAGAATATTTTTGTTCTTATTTTCTAGAAATATAGAGGTAGTTTATCATTGTATTTTTAGATGGCATTCAATGCAATAAAAGACAACTAAGCATTATAACATCTTATTTATTGGTCCTGTTATGAGTGAAATCCAGGTTGATTGCTTGCCTTTATATCTTGATGGTGGGAATGGTGCTCATTATATCAATCACTGGTTTGGTCCATATTATGACAGTCCACCCTCATATACTGGAAGGGGCAGTCGGGTAGCCTAGTGGTTAAAGCGTTCACTCGTCACGCCGAAGACCCGGGTTCAATTCCCGACATGGGTACAATGTGTGAAGCCCATATTGGTGTATCCCGCCGTGATATTGCTGGAATATTGCTAAAAGGGGCGTAAAACCATACTCACTCACTCACTCATATACAGGAAGCAGGAATATTGCAGTGGTGTGTTAAAGGACAAAGCAAATAAGGACCACCTTATATCCAGGATGTAAACACAGCATATCTGACTTACGTACACACGTTTAGGTAGTAACCACACACTGGTTTGTTGGGATGTGTCACTCTCTCTGCAAGTGCTGCTAAATTTTTTCACTGTTGCATCGTGCCTGTCTGTCATGTTTTGTTTCTTGCTATGTTTGCAGATTTTCAGATAGCTCCTACTGGCGTCGTGGAAACTGATCATGAGAAATATTACACGATTCCGCGCAGTCGGGACGTGTATACTGCCTATCGTAGTGTATTGCAACCCAAACGCCCTGCGTCAACAGCAGGTGTGTGTCACTGTAATGGACCATGTATATGCAATATGGGTGCGGAGAAGTGCGACGTTCTGTAGTTGCAACTCCAAAATGCCCCTGTTGAGATTCCGAGTCAGAATAGTTCCCAGTATACTTGTAGGAGTGACGGATGTGGATTGGGTGGTAACAATGTGTGGTTTGGCTGAGTGTGTGTCTTTGACCCCAACAGCATGGATTGTTGCTCATGATATCAAGGATTGGCTAGCCTGGTCGAGATTTGATTCACAGGCAGTAGCTGGAATATTGCTGAGTGTGGCGTTGAAATAATATATTCACTCAAAACTTTAAAATATCCAGTGTATTTGTTTCATTATGAAAATTTGTAGTATGTGTTGAATATGCGCCACCGCTCAGCTAAACAGGAAAGACAATGTTGAGATTCGAGTTGATGTACTTAATTAAATTTAATCACTGGATTGTCTGGTCCAGACTCGAATATTTACAGACCACTGTCATGTAGCTGGAATATTGCTGAGTGCGGTGTTTAACAACATACAAACCAAACTAGATATGGATCAGATGGCTGTTCCTGAGATCAGGGTTTGCACTGATAGGTCCTGGTTATATACTCCAGTGTATCTCGGAGTGAAGTTTTGAAAGACTGGAAAAGGGGAGAGGAACTCTTGTGAGAAATTTAGTTACAGAGTTACATCCCTTGGGCATGTCAGAAACCTGTGATCATTGGTTCAAATTGCCCTGATTACGTTTCTTGGTTTGTCAGCTCCAAACCCATGTTCATGGGATTCACCAAAGGGTAATGGGATTCACCAAAGTGTAGTGGGATTCGCCAAAGTGTAGTGGGATTCACCAAAGTGTAGTGGGAGTCGCCAAAGTGTAGTGGGATTCACCAAAGTGTAGTGGGATTCACCAAAGTGTAGTGGGATTCGCCAAAGTGTAGTGGGATTTGCCAAAGTGTAGTGGGATTTGCCAACCGAAGTGGGATTCACCAAAGTGTAGTGGGATTCGTGTAGTGGGATTCGCCAAAGTGTAGTGGGATTCGTGTAGTGGGATTCGCCAAAGTGTAGTGGGATTCACCAAAGTGGTAACATCAAAGACCTGTATCACTTCGGGCTAGTCTGTTGTATGACTGTATTACTGTTGGAAGTGGCGTTAAACCCAACTCGCCATATATACATGTACATTCTGAAGCTGACTTTCCTGCCACTAACCTCAAGGACGTGCATGCTTTGTGTTGATGTCAACTAACATGGCCATACTGCAGCTTGAGTCTTAATGTGACATCCCATCATCCCCTTTGCTGCTTCCTGTGTAATGAGTATCCATGTTGAAACAGATTTTAAATATATATCAACATTGAATAAAGAGCACTTTTCAGTAATTTGTGATTGTACTATGTTATGATGATTGACATTGCTTGCAAAGTCATTGCGATTCTTACATTGTTTGTTCAGAATACTGTAAAATGATCGTGATCAGATTTTGAGTTTGATATTCATAAGATTTTTATTACTATTCTATTATTATGATGTGTAATAATTTCCTTCAATTGATTTTCACCTTTCCTCTGCAGGCATCCCAACCCCTATTGCCAACAACAGTCTTTCACGCCGCACATCTGCCAACAATGCCAGACCCCCTCCCCCAGTGAGGAGGACAGCATCTGTAACTGGCACATCCTCAGCAGCCCAAAAGGTCCGTGCTTCACCCCCAAGGGAGATGTCTGGGCCTTCTCAGGGCCCGGTTACGCAGCATAAGCGGACACCGAGCGGGGATAAGCAATCGGAGGGTCCGTATGCTGAACTGCAACTGATTCAGCAGAGTATACACGATACCAAGTTAAGACAGCAACAGCAACGACAAGGTCATCCACAAGGACACTCAACTGGACACCCGCAAGGTCATGGTCATCCACAAGGACATGGTCCAGGTCATCCGCCAGGATATTCCCAAGGTCATGGCCCAAGGCACCCGCAAGGACATCCTCAAGGTCATGGCCCAGGGCACCTGCAAGGACATCCTCAAGGTCATGGCCCAGGGCACCTGCAAGGACATCCTCAAGGTCATGGCCCAGGGCACCCTCAAGGTCATGGTCCAGGGCACCCTCAAGGTCATGCTCAAGGGCACCCTCAAGGTCATGCTCAAGGGCATCCTCAAGGTCATGCTCCAGGGCACCCTCAAGGTCATGCTCAAGGGCATCCTCAAGGTCATGCTCCAGGGCACCCTCAAGGTCATGGCCCAGGGCATCCACAAGGACATCCTGCATCACCCCACAACCACCATCAACAGAGACGTATCCCACAGCATCACCGCCCGCAGCAGCCGCCGCCGCACCAACAGCACAGTGGAGGGTCAGGATCGCCGAGCAGAGCAGCGCCAGGAAGTAGTCCCCACTATGCAGAGCCTCATGCAATATCAGAGCAAACACAAGGACATGCCAATGTTATACAAAGCCTGACACGCAAGTTTTCCGAGTCGGTGGCAGAAGCCCCGACCCCACACGATGACTTTCCGCTCCCTCCCACTGAGGCGGAGTTGCAGGAAATGGAGCAGATCTACAGTAAAGTTCCTCCCCGTGGAGCTCCTCAAGACTCACTTGTGTTAGAACTCAAACGAAGAGTTGCTGATAGTTCAGAAGTTTAATACATTGTGGCTTCTTAAGATTGTTTTGCTGGAACCATTGCAGTTTGTTACTTTGATAAGTAATGTACGTGTGTTTTATGTCAGATGTCTCTTTGGAATGTACATTTGGGCTCGCGCAACGTTCTCAAGGTTTGCAGGCAGTAGTTGGGTGCAATGAAGCATGATTGGCTGTGGCTGTGTGACAATGCTTTGCGTCTTATGAAACAAGATGTATTCAAAACTGTCAAGATTGATGATATGTTGCATGGAAATTTGACTTAGTTTCGAAATGTAAGTGTTGGCGTACATGGTACAAGAAAATGTGTTGGCATAAAAGAAGTAGAAGTAGAAATGTTACCATGGTAACTAATTGCAGTGGAGCTGGCACTATTTTCCCAAGTACTATTTCCACCAGCTGGTGAGCTCTTGTCTAGCAGCAGATGTATGCAGTCTTTCAATGGATCTAGTGTTCCCTGGGTGTCAGATGGAAGTATAGCCATTGCAGAGATGGCCATTTTCCATGATTCTGCAGGTGTCAGTGGAATTAGGCCGATTTTGTTGATCTTGAGCAATACAGCTCTCACGATGGCAAAGTTACCCGTGGAGAAGATATTGCAGGTCCTGTGATCAGTGTCTTTGCTATACAGATGATTCTAACAAGTGTTAGATGTAGCGATGGAAGCACTGTGACCTGCTGCCTTGAAAATGCTCTTGTGATATTCAAGGGGAATAATTCTGGGATGCTGAAGATGTTTTAGTGCAGTTATTTTAAGTTTGGGTTTCAGACGCCTTTTTAACGATTTTTACAATACTGCTTTTGTACAATGCTCTTACTGATGAGTCACCTGTAGTTGATTTGTTTGTTAACTTACTTTTTATTTAATCAGATCTTTGTCCAGGTCATGTTATGTTTTAGAAGCATTTTTAACGAAGACCTATATGCACAGTAGTGAATCATGCAATCTTATTCAGGTTAAGTTGACAATTCTCTTTCCACGATTTGTTTGCTACATCTGGACTAGTTTTTATTTTGTTTACTGAATTGGAGTTAATTGCAATAATGATGTCAATTGAGATTTCTCCACCACCCTCTCCATCTGAATGATTCCGCATCTGCATCTGTATCAGAGGTACAGTAGTTATTTCATGTTATTTTCAAAGGTGCTTTAAACGCAATATGTAGTCACATGATCTCAATGTATCTCCAATAGTAGGAATCTTCTCACATGGACCCAAGAACTGCTGTTTGAACTTTGCTTCAAATTGCATGTGCATGAAAAGCAGACTTCCGTTTCTGAAGGAAGTAGTTTGATCTCAACATACTGGCAAAATTACATTTGTAACTTTCTCAAACTGTTTTCTCAAGATTGGAGGAATTCGACTACTTTGAAAAATGCCAATTTATCATCATGTGTATTGTATAAGTCTGTGTATGAAGCAGGCAAGATATTACTTAGCTGCTGTATTCTAGCTTGCCCGATTCCTTCAGCTAAACTGCAATTCTTGTCTCTATGATCTGTAATATGACATAATAAAAATAGTATATCAAACACTATTACTCGTCTGCTCCGACTACATTTATATACATCGATCATGTGAAGTGATGAATAATATGCAATAATTACTTCTAATAATACCAGCAATTATGCAAGTTTCAAGTCTGCGTGTTGATTTCCGTTTTGGAATTTGCTTTTCCCAAAATGTATGAGATGTTAAAAATAGCACAGGCTGCATAAACCAAATGAATGAGTTTTTTTAGAGTTTTTCATAAATCGTATATATGTATATGTACGTTATGACAGCTAAATCTGTACCTTGTCATCACAAATTTAACAATAAGGGAGATCAATTTTCTCCCGAACATATTTTGAAGGCAAAGAATGTATTTATGCAGCTTGGGTGAGCTATTTTTACCATGTCGGTCCTAGTTTGAGATTTTGTCAAATGATACATTCTTCATGTTTCCTGTTTTCATTTTGTGGTGTATTTTGTGCAGTTTGTTGTCAGTAAATAGTGCTGTGTTTGAGTCAAAATGTTTTCATGCAGTCTTATGTTCAACTACAAGGATTTTTTTGTTTAAATTAAATCTGTTTCCTACACTTCAGTTATTTGTTATTTTAGGGCATTAATTACCATGTTTAATGGCTCTTTAGGCCCCCACTAAAAATGTGTTTCTTATTTCAATCCATCCAAAAGAGGGTAGGTTAAGATTTTCTTTCAATTTTTTATCTGTAAGAAACAGTGATTTGCAGTATACCAGTGGAAGTCAGGGTCCACTAGCACAAACAATCTTAGCACTACGATGATCGTAACTCCCGTACTTTAACATCGTCTTACGACAGCTGTAGAGCTAGGATCACTTAGTGTAAGTAGACCTGGTTTCAAGTGAATCTAATGACTGTTTACCTATAGTGAAACACAACAAAATCTACGCAAGTGGCATAAAATTTGGACAATACTGGGATGGTGACAAAAGCTATGGTGAACTGAAAAAAAGTTTATAGTTGGGGCTCCAGTCAAGGGTTGGTTGGAAATGGAAACACAATTATTTGGGAGGCCTTAAATGATGTACTAAAGAGAAATTCAATGAACCAAATGTATGAAAATAATCACAGAAAACCATTTTGGTCTGTTACATTATTGTTCCTACCGATCATATCATGTGTATTCCATCAATAACTAAATGGGGAAGGAAATTTGATAATCAGTTCAACATTTTAATCAGAAATTAAAGTTGAATAATCACATGCTGTTCCTTGTACGACTGTTAATGTTAGTTTGCTTGATCAGTTCTTACTCACATCCCATTAGGAAGCATGGCACTCTTATGAGACGTTTCAGTTTCATTCAGACATGCAGAAGGATCCAAACACCTCAATGACAATAGGGCGCTGGATGCACTCCTTAATGTAAGCAAGACATTTTATTATTTTGCTGCATTTGTTTGTTTGATGTATGTTCTGTATATCTTACAGTTCGTCCTGATTTGCCATTTAGCAATGATACACAATGTTGCACCATAAATATCAGGGTTATGATAATTAAGATTAATCATTAAGCTTATGAATGAGCCAATTGCAGCTTGGGATAACCAACTAGTTCTCTCCAATAAATCTATTACAGTGTCGATGATGCAGGGATAGGAATTAGCGCTTGCCTTAACCAGTTTCACTAATGTTAAATGTATCCCAAGGGCAATTAGAAATTCAAACATTTGGGGGGGCTATTGCTATGTATTATTACTATTCATGATAGTAGACTTTCTTGATGATGGTGTCTTATGACACTACCACCTTACAACTAATTACAAATGTATATACCTAATTTAAATGGATCAATCTTGCCATATTACCAGTTACACTATAGGACAAATCCTGGCTTTACTTCAGTGTTTTGTGTTGTCAGGACCAAGGAGAGATTTAATTCCAATAAGCTATGAAAATGCCAACGCCATTCTACCTTAACCAGCTATGACATGTATTGTACCATATGACCGAGAATTTTGATTTTATCATATTTATGAACTTCTGGGGGATAGTTTCCCCCCAATTTAACACTTACATCCATGATAATGGGTTATTTTTTTGTAAATACTTATGTCTCTTACCCTGTTGTAAATATGTGTATTTAATCAATGTTGTTCATGTGGCCACTTTTGATGATGGCAATGCTTGGATTCCGTAGAAGTAATGGATGCATCTGCACTATCACTGAACGGGAAAATATTAAGCTCCAATGTTGTAGAATTTGGAAACTGAATGTGAAATTATTGAGGTGGAGTAATATTTTGCTATTATACGGAGTTTAATTATTTGTTCAGTGACACTGCAGATGACTTCTTCCAAGTTTTGGGCTAGTTTTCACTACCATACGCTTTGTACAAATTGCAGTCTGCCCTGCTGTTAAATGCATGATGTAGAGCTCAGGCTAGAAGCTGTAGCGAGCTATGTGAGCTCCATACAGGGTGCTGCTCAACTCCACACACAGCCGATCATTCACTTTGGTTGAAAGGGTTCAAATTGTCATTAATGCATTCCAAACCTTCTGCATTTATACAAGTTTTCAAATATGCATTGACTAGTTTGACACATGGTGTTTACATATTGGTAAAATAAGTCTTTGTTGCCATAATTTCCTGAATTTGTATGGAATTTCTTTTGGTTTCGACCTAATTTCTTAATTAATGGCACTCTCACAGTGCCTGTAACCAAGTAACAGACTGCTGTAACAGGCTACCATAAATACAGGCTTCCATAAATACAGGCTTTTTGTTTGATCTTTACCTTCACATGCAATAAGATCTCAATGAAATATTCTCAACACAGATCTAATCAAGATGAAAAATCGTTGGTTCTCACAAAGTTAGATATATGCTTGGAAAGTAATTGTCGGCTGCCTTTTATTTGCAGTAAAACATTACCTTGTATGCAAATTTTCGTTTTTTCGTCAAGTAGCAAAATAAAATGCTTCAATACAATTTTATTGAGGTATTGAAGCATCAACGTCGGAGAACCAGCTTTTTTTTAAGCATCAAGTTTGAAGTTTGTTTTTGAGAGCATCAAGTTTGAAGCTTGTTTGCATGAGCACCAAGTTTGAAGCTAGTTTTGGTGAGCCTCAAGTTTCAAGCAAATGTTTGTAAGGATCACATTTGAAGCTGGTTTGTGTAAGCATCACATTTGAAGCTAGTTTGTGTAAGCATCACATTTGAAGCTAGTTTGTGTAAGCATCACATTTGAAGCTAGTTTGTGTGAGCATCACATTTGAAGCTAGTTTGTGTGAGCATCACATTTGAAGCTAGTTTGTGTAAGCATCACATTTGAAGCTAGTTTGTGTAAGCATCACATTTGAAGCTAGTTTGTGTGAGCATCACATTTGAAGCTAGTTTGTGTAAGCATCACATTTTAAGCTAGTTTGTGTAAGCATCATGTTTGAAGCTAGTTTGTGACAATGCTCCCTGCTCAGCCGGTGTGGTGGTGTTGAGTGCTGCCCAGTGTGTGCATGTACTATGTTGGTACCTGCAAGTGCTGCGCTAACCTTGAGGTTCAGGCACTCACATGTTGTACAAGTTTTAACATCATAATAAAAATCTGATGAGTGCTACTATGCATTCCGAGTTCTGTTGTGTTTTTGTGTGTGTATTAGTTGGACAAGACACGGAACAATACGCGACACCTTTTATCGTAAGATACACCAACTGTAATGTCCACATGACAATCTTTGATATATTGGTTTCTTTGTTTGTTAACCTGAATTGCTGAGTTTGGACAGATGAACGATTCATGACATCAAACATTAAAAAGACATAAAAGTGGGTTTACGCTTTGAAATGACAGCATCAAAGAGAAGCAAAGACCATGCAGAACAAGGAATTTGTCTTGCCAAATGTGTACTGGTAACTTGAATGTCCTTACGATTGATAGCTTTTCTTATATACTCACTGCCAAAAGAAACACGAACCATAGAAACATAAAGAGAGGTATCTATGTTGAGAAGAAACTTTTCCAATCTGTACCACTTCATGACAAAACTAACAGTCAAGTGTTTCTACATTGTCTTTATTCTTATCACGATATGCTACACATGATTTCCAAACGTTACACGCTAATCCTGCATTAGACAAATGGCATATGGATCTATGATGTCACATGTGATGTGTTCATGAGCATTAGTTCATACAACATACCAGTAAGACCGCCTCCGTTGTCTAATGGTAGAGCGGAAGGTCCAGGGTTCGACCCCCAGCCGCGTCATACCAAAAGACGTTAAAAGATGGTACTTGTTGTTACCCTGTCTGGCGCTCAGCATTAAGGGGCTAAAACAAGGACTGGTCGGCTCGGGGTCAGTATACTGTGTCTGAGTGGGGTATTCATGTTAAACTGCGGCATGGTATCTCAGTGTGCTAGCACTATAAATCGGCATCAGTCCGGACTAGCACAAGCGTACGCACGCAGGCCGCTATATAAGTGCAATAATCTTAGATGCGACGTTAAACCCCATTTCACCTCACATACTAGTAGGTTGGTTTGTGCATCAAACTCATCTAATATCTCTTGAATATGAGTAATTCTTCATATATTAACGAACATAAGGTATTTGTTTCTTTTGTTGGTGAATATATAAAAATGAATTGATCATGACTGAGCTTTGACAGTATTTAGGTTATGTTGGTTTGTTCTTTAACGCCCCACTCAGCAATATTCCAGCTATATGAGGCGGTCTGTAAATAATCGAGTCTGAACCAGACAATCCAGTGATTAATATCACGAGCATCGATCCATGCAATTGGGATTGATGACATGCATCAACCAAGTCAGCGAGCCTGACCAACCGATCCCGTTAGTCGCCTCTTATGACAAGCATAGTCGCCTTTTACGGCAAGCATGGGTTGCTGAAGACCATTCTACCCCAGATTTTCACAGGTCTTTTGGTTATGTCTCTGCATGTCATGATAATATGGGAGGAAAGTGATGCAGGTTTTGTAAGATGAATGTTTACCAAAATGGTGAAACACACAGGTATTTTGCTGACAAATCAAGAATCAGGGTCAATCTACGGTCATAGGATACTGATACAGCTTAAGGGATGGAATCTGCAGTCTTATATGATGAGCTGATGCCAGCTTTGTCTATTGGCAAAGAGCTGACAATAATAATTGATCTATTAAACCTAGTGTCCATCATAAGGTGCCTCACAGTGCTCACAATACATACAACATGTACACAAAAGAGATGATGTACAGGACAGGTTTACGCTGACAAAGCTGGTGATCATGTACACGGTGATACACCACCAATGGGCATGTAGTATAACATTCTGGAAGAGAGCAATTATAACAAGATGGATTTTTTAGTGCTGTCTTGGAAGCTTCCATGGAGGAGACTGTGGAAATTGGAAGATTGTTCCAAAGAGCTGATGCAGCAGGCTTAAGGGGTGAATTTGTAAAATGTCTTGTGAAGTGAAAGCTGGCTTTTGAAACTGCCAGTCCTCTCCTAATTGTTGTCAGTCCCAACTTTCAACATGTTCAACAATTAAGAGTGAAATCAACTCCTCCTCCAGCTTTTAGAGAATATCCGTGACACTCTACACACAAGATGTCAACATATTGATGATACACATATCGCAGTCCCGTTTCATTTCGACAAATTTTGACAGAGTTACTGCCCCTGTTTTACGGAGCTTCATGAAATCTACTCTTCCTCCAGTTTCCAGAGAATGTCACAATATCTAACTATAACTATAGTTAGTTTCCTTGTATAAGGCTTTTGTGGGTGAGCTACATCCTTATGGCATTAGCATTCAGACTGGATAGCAACAAAATGTTCTGCACAATTTGTTTCAAATGCAGTGCCATCTACTGTTGTTATTTCATAAAATACAAAGAAAATATAAACTCGTTAAAAAAATTCATGTGGGGGATGTTGTGCTCTCAGAGCACTCTTGTTTTATATTTCAAGACTAGGTCACTACAAATATATATATTTAACCTCGAAACAAAGCAAAATGTTATTTCCCTGCACTAAAAATAGACAAGGGGAAACCCTGAAGGTAACAGACAAGCTGACTTCATTCGAAAAATATACTTATATGAATATCACCGATGTTTTGTTCAACAACAAAGATTTATAAGGTACTCTATTTGCCAGTCCACAGGGACTGGCAGTCACATGAATACCGGTCCAAGCCTAATTTTACCGGTAGAAAACTGTTAGTTCCCGGTAAACAGGAACACTGTGAAAGATATATGAAATAAAGAGCAGCATTTGCTGCTTGATCACATTCAGGCTGACCCACGAAGATCGGGTGTAGAATAGGTCTTCAGCAACCCATGCTTGCCGTAAAAGGCAACCATGCTTGTTGTAAGAGGCGACTAACGGGATCGAGTGGTCAGGCTCGCTGACTTGGTTGAAGCATGTCATCAATCCAAATTGCATGGATCGATGCTCATGATATCAATCACTGGACTGTCTGGTCAAGACTGGATTATTTACAGACCGCCGTCATATAGCTGAAATATTGCTGAGTGTGGCGTACAACAACAAACCAACCAGCCAACCAACCAACATTCAGGCTGATGTGGAGTTTCAGGGTTCAGTTTCCCAGTCAAAAGACTGCACTGCTGCAGGTTCAAATGACCTTGTGCAGCCTGAGTTTTTAAGCAGACTTCACAAAGTACAGATGGTTAAATATTCAACAAAGGCTAACAAAGATCAGTTGCTTCCAATTTATACCATGTGTACAAAATCTATTCAAATACAATAACTTTCATTTGCAGGATGATTATGGTTACATCCTGTTTATTTCAACTGCAGAACGACAATCTTCAATGTTCTAACGTTTAATTTAAATGTAAAGTATGTGGTGCAGCCAGTTTTCGTGCAGTTAGTTACCTGCCGGCAAATAGGTGAGGTGAAATGGGGTTTAATGTCACGTCCAAGATTATTGCACTTATATAGCGACGTGCATGTACGTGTGTGTGTGTTTGTGTGGCTGCTTGTACTTGTCCGGACTGATGCCGATTTATAGTGCTAGCTCACTGAGATACCATGCCGCAGTTTAACATGAATACCCCACTCAGACACAGTATACTGACTCCGAGCCGACCAATCCTTGTTTTAGTCCCTTAATGACGAGCGCCAGACAGGGTAACAACAAGTACCATCTTTTAACGTCTTTTGGTATGACGCGGCCGGGGAACGAACCCCGGACCTTCCGCTCTCCGGGCTGACGCTCTACCACTAAACCACGGAGGCGGTCCTCAGGCAAATAGATTGGAATCTGTCATACCATACAAATCGTCCCCAAAATGATAATCCGACAAATTAGCAGTGTTAAGATGTTTAATTCACCTTTTGTTTATGTACATCCTAAACATCAACAGGCGTCTCATCTATGAAGCCTCCCCATGGCCCTGGATGAAACCAGCGTGAACGAAACTTTCACCTCTAGAACAGGTCACGCATATTTACACAGAGCAGATTTCCTACTACAGATAACGTTTCACTTCTCAGGTGCCGGGGCGTCTTTGATGGGAACCTCTTCCTTGTTGGCCTTGTTGAAAGGGCCGAACGTCTCCCAGGGGGTGGCGTATTCAAACTTCCTAAATTCCTGGCTCATCTCTATAGGTTCGATGACCACACGCTTTGCTTCATCATCGTAACGTACCTGTTGTGTCAAGAAGAGTGAGAGTGAGTTTGAGGCTGACTTGAACAGTATGTCATCACAGCATGAAACAGCATGATGTGCAAGAAAAGACTGAGTAGATACAGGTCTTAGATATTTAACACTGTGTGAAACCCACTAGTACGGGTCTGGTGCAACTCTGCACAGCAAATGGCAGCGCCTTAGATGACTGTACCACCCGTGCCTCCAGTTTAGAAGAGTGAATGTCAATATGAACTAAGAATACACGATGCCATTTAGAAAGTGGTCCTATGTAACAAATGTTATATCAGGGATAACACATTCTCAGAATAAGTACAATTACTATTACTTTATTAACTTGAGTCCCATCTGGGATTTAAACCAACACTCTCAGAGAGATGCATGCACCTCAGTGCCAGCACACAAAGTCAGCAATCTAACCCACTCAGCCACCGAGGCTTCCACAAAATGGAAGTACTTTTTTTGGGTTGAGTCCCATCCGGGATTCAAATCCACTCTCAGAGTGAGGCACCTAATCCCCAGCGCAATACAACATTTCTTGATAATACAAAAAATAGCACATCTGATAATAATCGTTTCCTAATGCTTCTATTGTTTATTATTTTGTGATGCTAAAACACTCAACCAAATGCAGATTGAAGACAATGGCTTACCTCTACATAACCAGAGAGAGGGAAGTCCTTTCTGAATGGATGGCCTTCAAAGCCATAGTCTGTGAGGATACGTCTCAGGTCAGGATGGTTGGCGAAAAACACACCATACATATCCCAGATCTGAAATACACAAACTGCCATTTACATGCTTCATAAAACCAGTATCAACACATAGTGTGTCGACCCATGAAGACCCGGGGTAGAATAGGTCTTCAGCAACCATGCTTGCCATATAAGGCGACTATGCTTGTCGTAAGAGGCGACTAACAGGATCGGGTGGTCAGGCTCGC